TTCAGGATTTTAGATGTGAAAAGGAGACCTTGGAAGTGTAAAATTTAAAACACACATTGAAATGAATCTCAATCTAGGGGCACCTGAGTGGCTCAGTGGGTTGAAGCCTCTGTCTTCAGCTCAGGTCATGATCTCAGGGTCCTGGGATCGAGCCCCGCATCGGGCTCTCTGCTCGGCGGGGATCCTGCTTCCTCCTCTCTCTCTCTCTGCCTGCCTCTCTGCCTACTTGTGATCTCTATCTGTCAAATAAATAAACAAAATCTTAAAAAAGAAATTTTTAAAAAAATTAGAAAAAAAAAAAGAAATCTCAATGTAATTGTTTCCTACGAGTTGGAGACCATCAAAGGGAAGTCAATTTCCAGAATGCCTGGCATCAACCACAGCAGACTCAATTCATCTCGTTGTAAAGATCTCACTGTGCTTCAGGGACAGCGTGATGGACACTGGTTACTATTACAAGGAATTATAGATTTAGAAAACCTCAGTAATCGAGCCGAATGTATGTTCATCTGGTAGCCTACCTTGATCAGTACTCTCAATTAATTCCTTTTTGTGACCCAGTTCACTTTCATTAATCCTTTGGCTAATACTATGAAAGAAAGGAGAAGAGAGAGAAACGTGAGCCTTTTGACTGGATTCCAAAAAATTAGCAGTTTACTATGCATACAATCTAAAAAAAATATTAGAAGAGATATTCCTGATTATATATTATTCACTCTAAAGAGTTCTGTGATCAAGTAGTGACTGGGGCTCATACTCCTCAATGACATGGGGTTATTTCTTTTCTCAATCCCACTACAAGAACTGACATCCCCTTTTTAACTCAACAAAGAGGAACCACAAAATGAGAAGGTCTGTCCTTCCTTCTCAAGACTTTTCTTCTCAGACAGCGGACCTCTAACCAACGAGGCACAAAGATCAAAACTCAGAACTTAGTCTCAATTCCTCCCTTCGCCACAATGAATCAAGTGTTAAACCCTGTTTATGTTACCTCCATTCCTACTTCCTTAGCCCACATCCTCATCAATTGTCTGGGTCTCCAATTTGACCTCTAAGCTTTTGATCCTACCATCTTCTACCCATTCCCGACAGTATAGCCAGAACAATGTATTTAATGCCTCAATCTGGAAGTCTGCTAACGTCCCTTGGATGGTACTCCATAGTTTTCAGGATAACTGTCAAACAGCTTAGCAGCTAAGGCCCTCTATGATTTTAAAAGCTGCTGAATGTTCTAGTCCTCTTCTATTTGAATATCCAATCCAGTCGAACTGAGAGAGTATGTCCTTTCATACCCACAGAAGATGGTAGCCTTTACCACGTGGAATTTTAGCACTGGATCCAAGTCAAGACCTAACCTTTCATTTTAAAGAAGAGGGCACCAAGTTACAGAGAGGTTAAGTAAGTTACCCAAGGTCACACAGGTGGTTAGGAACAAAACACATTTAGAATCCAGTGTTTAGGTCTAACCCTCCAGAATATAATTTCTTTAATCTATTTTGACATTGCTCTAAGTACGAAAGCAGATTCCTTCTCAGTATAAAACTGAATATCCTAAAATGATAGGTCTTGGTCTTGGTCTTGATGGACAAACTGACTTAAATGTTTGTATCTAAAATCTGTTCAAAGTATGGAGCTTCCCTTTCCCTCAGTGCAATCCATTTTCAGAAGCCTTCTCTTCAATAAGTCCACTGAGACGTCAATACAAACAAAGCTCTCTGCCCTAAAATTAATCTTCAAATTCATCGTGAAGTCACCAAAACAAAAATCTCCCAAATAAAACAAAAGCAGAGGCAGACCTAATAATGAATATGAAATATGCTAAGAACATTCTGTCACTGAAATTAACTTGACTTCTTGTGATTAGCAAGATGATATCTTAAAACACAAGAATGAAGCAAAGGACAACTGAAGAGAAATTGTCTGGACAGGGTCCCATTTGAAATGTATCCGTTTGAAAACAGCCTCTGTCTTTTGGCTATCATCACCACGAGCCTGTCCAAAAATTCATTTTCAAATGTTATTTCCAAGTGCAATCTCAAATTCAAAATGTGAGTTGGTTGGCAGGTTCAAAATTTGCTCTGAGATGGACAAAGCAACAAATGAGATGTTTTCAGAAGGAATAATAAGTATATTCCAACATTCATTCACTGAGTTTAATTCATGCTTCAGATGCCAGCCTTCCCCTTCTAATTCCTTTGTATCCTGTTTCTATTAGGAAATAGAGAAAATAGGATTATAAAGCCATTTCTAAATATTAACATGGTACTGAAGTAAGTTAGCAAAGGATCATGTACATTTTCAAGGAGAGGGCGGGGAGGGAAGGTGGCTTGAGCCCAGTCTGTGAGAAACGGTGAGTGATCCGAGGTTAGCTAAATCTGACCATACTGTCACATCCTCTGCTGTGTTACTGACAACAAGTCAGAGCACTAGAAAAAAAATATTACATCAGAAAAATGCTTGGAAGGGGACCAAAAATTACCTGTTGAATAGGAGAATTGGGTTTGTTAGCTTATGATTTCATAGACTCTGGGATGCCCAGAGAACGCATCCACTAAATTACCATGGTGGCAATGGTGTGGGGGAGGGAGAATCGGAGACTGGGAAGGGAGGAAGAACTGTGAAGAATCACAGTTACTAAATATTTAATTTATAAACTAAACCAGGAAGAACACAGACCAAAAGATGCAAAGGATTACTCAGGAAGTTCTAATTTATATATAAATGGAAATATGAAAGCAGGGCAAGAATACATAGGGACTAGCAAAGCAGGTAAGACAGCAGCAATCCAAAGGGGGACAAAATTATAGGAAATCCATATCCAGAACGTTGGTGATATAAAACTGAATAAACCAAAGTAGCTTTCCTTTCTTTTTAAGTATTGCTGGAAGAATCTGGTGTCACTTTCTTTTTTTAAAGAGTTTGAAATATGTTCACTATCTGAAGTTTCCTAGGATAGGTATGATCTTTCAAAAATACAGATGTCATTTGGAAATGAACTTCTCTAGTAACACACATCCTGTCTTTCATGTATTGAGAGACTCGGAAGGACACTCATCAGTACACTTTATTAGATGAATTGTTATAAAGTACCATGTTAAAAAAGCATGGTAGGAGCCAACTGTACACCAATCACAGTATTGGTATAACATTGACAATGCCTGCTGGTAGAGAACATCAACAGTGGTTTCCATTAAAAAAGACAACAGCTGTTCTCAAAATAAGTAATCTACCTCACATACATACTTCTCTGCTGGTTTTGTGACTATGAAACGATGAATAAAGTTTTCCATTAAAAAAAAAATTAGAGTATTAATGAATAATATATTGAGAGTGCTATTTTGCACATGCCTGTTAAGAAGGTCATTTTGTAAGTTAAAAAGCATTATTTGGGGAGGGTAGGGCCAATTAATGACTTCAAGTGAAAAATGTTTCTCATTGCACATGGGACTGCTAGCGTCAATTTTCTCAGTCCTTGTTGGATTTGCCAAGACATCCTTTGCCCCAGACCCTTGATTCAACAGTGATTCTGGAGGAAAAATTACATTCATTTGTTTCCTTCCCTGGCCTCATTCTCTCTCATGCCCTATCACACATGTTGTTCCTATACAGCAAAAACACTTACATCCAAGGACGCTTCTCTCCCACTCTTTATTCCCAAATTGGCTTTTCCTCCTCAATACTGTCTTAGGGAAGCAAACCATCGCCATGACAACATTATGATGGGGGTTTGAACAGGACATGGGGCAGCCTTTGTCAAAGTTAACATGGGGATTTTGCTGAACAGGATAAAGAAAACTCAGACAGTTGGTAATGCTCTCTTGTGAGCCACTTAGCTGCACAGAACTAACTGTCCATGTCTAACTTGACCCAACCAAACCACAGCCTTAACAAAGAAAAAAGAAAAAAAGAAAGAAAGAAAAAGAAAAGAAAAAAGAAAAAAGAAAAAAAATGCTGCAAATGTCATTTATTTAGGACTAATTCCTTAATCCTCTGTTGTGGTCAATTAGGCTCAATATCTAGCGGTCATTAAATCATGGTATCATATTAATATGGAAAAGAGAATAAGGAACTTTGCCTTTTTAACTTCACGTGGATGTGGGACTTCCAGAGATACATACTTTTCCCAAATAAGTGTTAGTACATTCTCTCTTCTAGGGAAATACTTGTTTTCTGCACCTTTTAAATTTCATGTGATTTTTCTTCCCTATATGGCAGATGATGAAGATGAATTATTATGCAGTTGTGGGGACTTTTCCCGGATCTTTAACACACTGGCCTCCCGAGAGAGGAGTGCTGCAAACACAAGGTGACAATTCTGAGCCCAGGTGTAGTCCCATTCTTTTGTGTAACTCAGAGCAGGAGCTCAAGGATTACATTCAACATATATTTAACAACACTTTCCCACTACGGGCTTCACGTAGGAGACGAAAATTATCACACTTTTCTAAAAAACAAGGACACCTAAGAAGTCACCAACCGATGAGATTCATTCTTTGTCTTTACCTGAGCGACCACCTAAGGACACAGGGCTTTTAAAATAGTGAGGAGAATCCTTTGTTCTCTCAGGTTCCATTTAAAGGGAAAGTGGGTCGAAGGGCTTCCCCAGGGAGCGGGGTGGAAAAAAAACCACAAGGAAGAGCCAAACACCCAGGAGGAAGAGATTTCACTCCCACTATGGTTCCCACCCTCCCAAAGAAGTTAATTAATTCTATTTCAGGGATGTTTAGGGTGGGGGGCTGTAGGGGGAGAGCACTCAGGCAGCCCATTCTCTGCCATCATACTCTCATTCTCAAATGTGGCTCAGACCATCTCTCCTCCCTGACACCATGGGGTGGGGGCGGGTGATGGACCGCTGAGAGCCTCTCTCCAGCCTTAGGCAATGGAGCCAATACCATAAGCGTTTGTGCTCCCCAAAAGGTGTGTCCCAGCCCAAGTGCGAAGTTGGGTATTTAGACCTGAAAAGCACAATTAGAGCCATTCAAAGCAGCAAGTTACAGTACCTTCAGAAGTCTGACAGATGGGAGAAAGGCTGCGTGGCACAGCTTCCGGATGGTCCAGTTTAGGGGACGAGGAGCATCAGTCTGATTCATGACCCCTTCCAAATTCCACCGGGAGAACCAAAAACGGCAACCCTGAGCAATGCCTAGAAAACAAACCGTCCCCCACGGCCTTGGCATCCCATGGTCATGTCCACACCTGCAAATTCCATCAGGGCAGAGGCTTGCTGGAACTTGGGAGACTAGTCAAGTGGCGTTGCCTGAGCCACGGAACCTTCTTAAGAAAGCCACCTCCCCTCTCCCTGCAGCCGTGCTCATGCATACCAAATGTGGCTGAATGAAGGCACACAGCCTGCTGCTTCGGGGAGGGGATGCGCGGCTTGGAAGGAGAAGGACAGCCTGCGCGAACCAGCCTGCGGTCGCAGTGAGAGCGGCCCGCTCCGAATGCGCCTTCCCTCTCCCGCTCTCCTCCCAGTGAACGCAAGTCAGGCGCTGGGGGAGAACCCGGGCCATTTGCTCTGCTCTCGCTTGCTTGGGGGGGCAGCCAGGAGGAGAGCAAGAGGGAAAATCAATAAAGCCAGAACGAGCAACTTGCACTTTCTTGCACAAAGCATCTTTGAGGGGCTGGAAACTGGCACAAGGGGAGGGGCTAGGACACAGAGGGAGAAGGAATGCCTCCAAATGATAAGATAAAGACTCCCCTTTTGATTTATGTGACCGAAGAAATGGAGCTGCTGTAAAACGGATCTCTAGGAGAAGGGATCTCTGTCGTGTTCCCGGGATTTTTATTAACTGTGACAGAAGGTCCTCGCCCTGATATATACATTGTATCCATGATGGACAGGCAGACTGACAGAAGCGAACCAACCCCCGGCCACAGGGAGCGGCAAGTTATCCCTTTCTTAGAAAGCAGTGCAAACTAATGTACGTTGGGCTTACCTTTCAGAAATGGCAGTTTCTAAACTGGGGCTTATATCTTCCTGGAAAGCCACTTGATACTCTTTCTCTGCAACAAAAATTTAACCCTCAATGTGCCACACAGGATGCTTTACATAAAAGATGAGTTTCCTCATGTGGGGATACCCACCCCCTCATTTTTGAAGGACAGCTTTAAGAGTGAGAGTGAGAGAGAGAGAGAGAGAGTGGCTGAGTTAGCATGATTCTGGCTCCTGTGGCAAAAGACAGAATCAAGGAGAACTTTCCATCTGCAGGTAGAAATTGGATCATTTCACTTGAAGAGAAGTTCTGGCATTGGCAAGAGGAAGTTCATGTCACAACCCAGTGGGACCTCCTGCTACCACCTCGCTCCCCCAACCCCCCACCCCCAGCATCAGACTCTGTGGGTGCAGTTGACCCTTGGCTGGCCAGGTGAATCCCCACATTTTTTTAAAAGATTTTATTTATTTATTTGACATAGAGAGAGATCACAAGTGGGCAGAGAGGCAGGCAGGGGGCGGGAGTGGGGGAAGCAGGCTCCCTGCTGAGCAGAGAGCCTGATGCAGGGCTCCATCCCAGGATCCTGGGATCATGACCTGAGCAGAAGGCAGAGGCTCAACCCACTGAGGCACCCAGGCACCCCGAGAATCCCCACATCCTTATAACATTACCATCTTCCCGATTTTTCCTAAGTCCCTCCCCATGGCTACACTGATTTTGCATTTCTAAAGACCTCGAGGAGATTAGTAAATCCTAGCCCCACAGTGTATGCATTCTGAAGCAGAATCAGTAGAGGGGAGAGGAGATGTGACATGCTGGGACCCTGATGTAATTCAGATTTGGGGACAACTTGAATTTTCCCTGTGGAGTAGTTAGCACCTGACACACTGCATTACAACGCTATCTCTCTCACGAGCTAAGGACACTTGCAGAAAACCTCATCTATTGGTGGAATCCAGACCACTGACTTGCCTTGTTGAAAATTCAGCGTCTGAGTATCTTCTACTCAACAATTTCACTTTAATAAATCCCCCCACCGCCAGCTGGTTCATTTTGTCACGATTCTATTTCCACAAAAGGTGAATGATCATGTATTGTGGTCGGCACTCTGAACGCATTACCAAAGTTCCTGTCAACAGCACCCTACCGAGTAGATGCTGTGGTCATGTGCCCACTTCAAAGATTAAGCAACTGAGGACTTGAGAAATTACTAACAGGTCTAAAAACACGTAAGTAGTAAAACCAGAATTTAGATCAAAACTAGTCTATTGAACTATCATATGATCTCCCTGATATGAGGGAGAGGAGATGCAACATGGGGGGTTAAGGGGGTAGGAGAAGAGTAAATGAAACCAGATGGGATTGGGAGGGAGACAAACCATAAGTGACTCTTAATCTCACAAAACAAACTGAGGGTTGATGGGGGGAAGGGGGTGGGGGGGTGGGGTTATCGACATTGGGGAGGGTATGTGCTATGGTGAGTGCTGGGAAGTGTGTAAACCTGGAGATTCACAGACCTGTACCCCTGGGGATAAAAATATATTATATGTTTATAAAAAATAAAAATTAAAAAAAAAAACTAGTCTATTGCACTCCAAAGACAAGTGTTGTCTTCCGTCTTTCTTTCATAATCATGGGGACCCAGGATTAAAGCCTGGGGCTCAGTTTTCTGGTGATTCAATCATCTAATTGCTGAGCTAAAAGCCCTTGAAGAAGAAGTGTTCCACATTTCTTCCAGATCACTTCTTTGGTGTGACGCTGACGCAGTAGTAAGCAACTGAACTCTAGAATCAGGCTGCGTGGTTCCCGTTCTAATTTTGACCCTGGCCTTGGGCAATCTACTCACCTACGCTGGGCTTTAGTCTTCCTCCGTAAATGGAGATACAAATGAAACTACACACCTAAGGTTATTAGGAGGACTGAATGGGATCCTGTCAGCCAAGCACCCAGAACAGTGCCCAGCCCAGACTGAGTCCCTTCCACCATGACCCGCCTTCTAAGGAAGCTTGTGTTGATGTTGAAGTAGGAGCCTGCTAATCACTTCCACTAAGTATGCACCACTGTATGCATTTCTTGGACCAGATAATGAAGCTGAGAAGGCAGATTAAACCTGGATGTTTCCTTGCAGTTGCCATGCATTTCATAAATGGGGGTAAGTGGAAGATGGGAGCCTGTGAGGTCGGTATGGGTTTCCTCATGCTATACTACAGGGTGGCATTTGGCAGAATGCAAGATGCGGCCTTTCATGAAGGCCACAGGCTTAATAAAATGCCACATGGTGAGGCTCCCTTGGAGTTGGGAGAAGTCCGCCCCAAGAAAATGCTGAAACATGCAGTTGCCTCTCCTCCTGCCCCTCACTGTTCACACTGTTAAAGGACCCCCACAAAAGTGCCAGCACCATTCTGAAAACACACAGCCTTTGATCCTCGGAGCCCCTTTCATTTTTAGTGAGTAACTTTAGTCAAAGAGAATAGTTAGGAACCCTGCAGAAGAGCTAAGGAGAAGGATTCTCGGCTCTCTCTAATGGCAATTAGAGAGAAACACAGAAGCTCTGGAGAATTGCTTTGGAGATGACACTGCACACTGCAGGAGAAGTACAGATCAAAGAGGGAAGGGGGTGCGAGAGAGGAGGGTTTTTCTTCCATCATTGGAGTAGTTTGTGCCAGAATGGTGGGCTGTCAAAACATCTCAAGCCGGGTTCTCAGGACCCCGCCCCCTTCAAGAAATGAAATTTTCACCCGGAATGATACCTTCTCCAGGGGTAGGGAGAGAAGTCTAATGAGGGAAGAGCTGAGAGCAGCAAGTCCAGACCTGGATGTTAGCCACCCAAAATGCTTCTTTACCCGTTTTATGAACGTGGGTGTTTACAAATCTACAGAAGAAATTCTAGCAGGCTTAAAGACCTGACGCGACCACATTAGCTTTCAGGATCCTAACAAACAGCAAGCCCAACACACAGCCAATCTCTGCACTCTGAAGTCCGCCTTTGCGCAAACTAATTCTCTTTCATGCTATATAAGCCCACTTCCGAGTGATCGTCTTTGCATTTTATTTCCTATGTAAATGATACTAAATTTAAGAATCATGATAAGTTTTGAGCTGTCTCGTGGCTGACAATGAGCCATGGTATAGATGTTCTGCTTCCCTTCCTTGTGAAAAGCAAGTTCCTTCTCTCTAAAGAAAAACACTCACAGAACCCCCAAGGTACCACTTTGCACACTGTCTTCCTTTACCCCCTTTAAATATAAAAGGGCCTGACCCGTGAAAACCTAAGACAACAGAAAGGAAAGGACCCAGACAGTTCAGTGTTCCAAAGCCTACTCTACCTCATGCTCAAGAAAACCAAAGCAAAAACAAAAACTCCAATATAATTTTTCACAGTGTAACACTGAAATTCATAGTTATCTGGACATTAATTGAGCAGCTATTTTCAGGCTCTAACAGTGAATGTAAAGTACATAAGTGCAAAAAATGGCATGCAAGCATCCAAGGGAAATGCAGGAACAAGCCCAATGCTCAAGGCTTTGTAGATAATTCCGTTTGCCACAATATTCTGAGACCCTGATATTAACTTCCTGCTTGCTTTGTGACTGGCCTCAGCTCTTACCTTTGTTACATTTCATAGTTCCCCATTTTTATCAGAAAAATAATTCATGTTGTGAACTCTGGCAATTTAAGAGTCTTATTAAAAAATGCTTTTCCCATTTCTTCTCTTTAACTACATTTAAATACTGCTATAATATTGTTAGGAATTTCTAGATGCTTCTACAGTATTTTCCAAAATAGCAAATCTCTTTATAGATTCCAATGACACTCGAGAGTCCTTAACTAACTTCCCAGTGTATGTTCTTCCTATAGATGAAATAACTTTTTTTCTACTGAAGGTATTTTTCTGCTTGGCATCTTTCATAGGTAATAGTTTCCGAAGTACACTAAAATCTATTAAAATAAATGACTCGCATTTATAGCTTCGATGGCATTTATTTTGTGTAAAATGACAAGATCTCAGAGCCAGAATAGTTTCCTTCTCTGTTCCCTGCAGTACCAAGACCTCGCCCCGCTTCCCTCCCTGCTGGCTGCCCTCCATAGGTGACCCCCCGGGGAGCAGGTGAGCCTCCAAAGCAGCCCATCCTGTTGCTGGGTGGCTCTAGCTGACACAAACTCTCCCCTTGTAACTCCCAAGGCAAGTCTCTCCTCCAGAGAATGGCTCTCCAAGTGGAAAGGCCGACAACAAGCTTCCCTGAAACCTCCTCTCCACGCGGGCCGTCTCTGACATGCACTTCCCCCTCTCCGTGTGATGCAGTGCAGCTCTGGGAAAACCCTCTTGGGTGATCATCTATATTACGTCATAAAGATACTTTCAATATCGTAGTGTCTTATCCTCTTAAAGGCCTTCAATTACTTCTCATAAAGGTCCTTTTGAGAACTTTAAGTCTCAGCAGATACACACACAGACACACACGTCTTCTTCCCT